AAAAAAAAAGAAACAAAACGCAAACAAACAAATTTTACTAATCGCTTGAATACCAATTTGATCCGTATATCTTGGATCGAGTGTAATACGTATAGTATTTGATTGAAAACGATAACGTCGTAAAATTGGTTTGAATATATTATGAGATAATGTTTTCTTATCTGTACGAGATTTTTGTTGCCACATTGTCCACCATTTATCTAAATAGAATTTTTGCTATTAATAGAAAAAAATCAAATCAATCGTATATTATTTTTATTGAGAACTGTAAAGAAGAGATTGATCATCAGTTGACTCAGATCAGTGAACTTTCATGGGATCATCTTGCCCATATCTATTTAGAACACATGAGTTCGTAACAATATGACATTCGATGCAAATTTTGGGAACCGGAAAGTTGAGCACGAGGAAAGATGAGCACGGAAAGTTGAGCACAGAGAAAGATAAGCATGGAAAGTTAAGCACCGGAAAGATAAGCACAAGGAAAGCTCAGCACCGGAAAGTTGAGCACGAAAAGGGAAATTACTTTAGACATGGTGATAATGGGCAGCCCGAGGAGAACACAGCTGATTTTAAGATTTCAAGACTTCAGAAGACTTCACGAGACTCCAGAAGATTTCAAGAGATTTCAACATCAGAAACTTCAAAGGAATTTTCGGAACTTCAAGAGACTCCCAAAGGCTTCATGAAACTTCATGAGACTGCATCGGACTTCCAAAGACTTCATGAGACTATAAGGGATTTCATAACCAGAAAAAAACCCACAGATTTCAAGATTTCAAAAGGCTTTACGAAACTTCAAAAAGTTTTAAGAAATTTTTAAAGATTTTAAGAGATTTTATAGGACTTCAACAGACTTTCAAGATTTCACAGCTGAAATCCCTGCTGTTTCCCTTTCGGGGCAGACGAATGCTGAGCGTAGATGTAGAGTGGATGACTGTTGGTGTAGATGCAAGTGAGTGTGGGTGTGAATGGGATAGGTGGCTATGAGCTCGCAAGGTGTATATAACAACTTGATCCCTATTCACATCCATATAACCCGTCTATCGACGCACATTCATAACCACTCGGCTACCTCACCGACCCTCACATGTCTACCTCTACTCAACTGTCCATTCCATCGGCACCCACTTGCACATCCTCACCTGTACCTACCCTCTTTACACTTCTTTCCCCACCTACACCTACACTCAGCATTCGTCTGCCTATTAATGCCATATCGAAATTAATTTCCATTTTCGTGCTCAACTTTCACCAATCCGCAAGTTTTACCCGACCAGAAAAGGTATCGTCCTCAATGGAAAAGTGTTAGTCACGGATCATGTCTAAGATTCAGAAATGTTGAGTACATTTATATATATATATATTTCTTTTATCCTCTATAAGAGAACTGGATATTGTACGGTATAATATCCTACATGATTTATCTTTTCTATAAATTGAAAATATGAATTTCTTCATTCTCCGCTTATCTTTTATTTATAATACAGATCGAGACGAACGAAGGAGAAATGCGTTCATCTCGATCTGAGATATAAATAGAAGGATAGTTCATAAGACTACAAAAAATATTTCTTCTCAATGTTGTAGATTTAATGTCTGCTAGTAGAAAAGATAGATGAGTACTTTTACTAAACCCAACCCTCGAAAAACTTGGGCTGCAATTATTCTTTGTATGTTAATGATAATTTCTAAAGGTGTTGAGAGCATGGATCGCGGACTTCTAACAACGTCAGTTTTCGATCACTTTAGTTAGAGAATAAAAAGTCCTCATACATATAGAAAAATTTGTTTTGTGTTGTTATTAAAAAAGAAACCGAAGTTTTCTCCCATACGGTACATCCAATCGAGCTCAATTTTTTTTTTCCTTCAACATGTTGTTCTTACGAAATTCGGTAGCCTGTAAAGAAATTACTATCATTAAAAAAAACATGTTTTTCTTCTTGATGGTGTTTCCAGTAATTTGCTTCTCCTGAGTTCTACGATTTTTCATTGAGCCGTTCTTGAGAAACTCCGAATTTTGTTCAGTCTCAATTTTTATTTTATGTGTAGATAAACTTTTTTTTTATCGTCTTAAACTAAAATTTCTATAATCGTACTTCTTTGACATTCAAATATATCCAATTGAACAATACTACCGGGATTAAGACTTTCATAAATATGTATTTCATTAATAAATATTGGTGTTTGAAATGAAACAATTAAATATTCTTTTCGATTATTATTTGATAAAATCCATTCATTATGATTTTTATCTTTATCACCAAAATTAATATCTGTTGCTTGACATAATTTTTCAATACCAATATCTTTTGTAATACTATCTGAATAATTACATTTATATGAACAATATTCAATTAATTGAACCCATTGTTCATTAAGAATCATTGTATTTGAATCCTAAAAATAAATTAATCTAATATATGTATATATGTATATGATTTCTTTACGTTATTCATTTGGAATAGAATACTAATATATACAAAAAAGATTGGAATCGTTAGAGAATGATATTTATAATGACATTATTCTTTCTCAATCAATGTTAATAACACCAAGAAAAAAAATGAATGTAGATCAAAATCAACGAATCCCTGGATTATTTCATAACCAATCATTTTATTCTTTGCGATAGTTGTCACTAATAAAAGCC